TGTGTGTAAAAGCCTATGTGCGTAAAAGTGTCTAGTGTCTGTGCGTAAAGGCGTCTGTGTGTAAAAGCCTATGTGTGTAAAAGTGTCTAGTGTCTGCGTGTAAAACCTTCTGTGTGTAAAAGCGTCTGTGTGTAAAAGCGTCTGTGTGTAAACGCTTCTGTGTGTAAAAGCGTATGTGTGTAAATGCGTCTGTGTGTAACAGCTTCTGTGCAAAAGCGTCTGCGTGTGAAAAACAATACGAAGGATAGGATGCAAACTAGTGTTTTGTACTTGTAATATATTGTCTTGATACTACTTGTCTCGCCTGCCTAAAATACATCTTAATATATTGTCTTGCAATATAGTGTCTCAATACTAACAACAGAAGACCCTGCTCTCTCTCTCTCTCTCTCCCTCTTTCTTTCTCTCTCTCTCCCTCTCTCTCTCTCTCTCTCCCTCTCTCTCTCTCTATCTCTCTCTCTCTCTCTCTCTCCCTTTCTCTCTATCTATGTCTCTCTGTGGTTGCAAGACACGTGTCATATGATGCCCTTTACCAAGCAGCACAGTGCATATGCATGGGTTGTCACATGTATCCTCTTAATCAATCTTACTTTTCACAACTTACCCCTCCATAGCTCATATAAAATTCACCAACCTATCACCGACTATTTTTTACGACTACCATACTCAGAGCTGCTTGAAAAACGTCTTTTTCGCTCTCGGGCCAACCGTCGTCTAGTTTCTTTATCTTATAGCATCAATCCTGCGGCAGCAGGTCTTCCAAGTGTTCCAAGAATTCGTTCGGACTCACATTCCCGAGACTTTGTCTCCAAGCCCACATGTACATGTATTGCGGAACACTTGGGTGCATGCAACTATGTCCTTGGATTTTCTGTTTCACAGTCGTCCCTTTTGGCAGAAACGTCTTTAGACTCCGCCATGATCGATCGAGCGTCTGCGTCCCTGCTACAGTGGAAACTTCTGGCCAAACTTTGGGGCAATCCGATGTGAAATTCTTGACTTGGTGGATCACATTCTGGAAAGGGAGTCCACGGCTTGCTGCTGCTGACTTCCAGGCTTTGTTGCCATCAGCATTGACAACACTGCGTCGAGTGATGCGATCCAAAAAACCGGAAGCTTCCACTTGCGCCAACGTCTCAGTGACCGGACGCTGTTCCACAGCTGTGACCTGAGGAAACTGGATAAAGAAAGATATGGTCAAGGTTTTGTGGTTCCATCGCATTGGATCATACAATGGGTGCAACGTTTAAAAGATATTAAACATGTCTGCAGAAGAAGAACCCTTTGCATCCGAGACACATGGGGTCGAGGCACATATATCGCAGCTGACGAGTTTCCTCGCACCTGTGCTCCCAGAACCATAATATGGCCAACAAACGATTTCGGAAGTCGTTGACCTTTACGTTGACAAGACTGGTTAGTCTTCTGAATTTGGTCTGCATGCCACAAATTGTTAGCAGACATGTGAAATTTGGCGATGAAGGAGCCATCCACCTCCACGGAGCCACGCAAAGGACAAGTCTGGCTGAAGTTTTTCCCTGCCGTGCTTTCCAACATTCTAAGAGCTGCCAAGAAGTGTTCCACACAACTTCGACCATGGGTGCTGGCCTAGCAATGATCAGAGACGTGATTGTAAAGAAAAAAACTTCGCAATGAAAAACAATATTTTCGATTTCCCGCTGCACCTGCACAAAGTCTGGAACAGAAGGATAGTGAGCCAGATTGGAGCTAACGTAGAGACCAATGAGCTTGACCAATTCGCAGGGAGAGACACGAAGACCTGTAAAAATGCTTAAGTCATAGATCTTGACCCGAACTCCGCAGTGCTTGCATCTCCAGTGTGGAGGTCTGTCTTGCGACCACACCAAGTCGGAAAATACATGTCGATCACATTCAGAGCAAACGGTCGGGGAACGGATCCACTGGCGGTCCAAGAGCCACGAAGCTGCTGTGTTCTCTGTGGTGGGAAGGTTCAAAGACACATCCAAGGCATGCTTCTGTTTTCGACGAATCTCCGCTGGTGAAGGCAATCTTGCAGCAGGCTTGCCTTTGTATAAGGCAGAAGCTTTCTTTCGGTATTCCTTGTCCAACTTGGGAGCCTTTCGCCATTTTTTTTCTTGTCTCAAAACCTTTCTCTTCGATTGTTTCTTCAAGACAGAATTTTCTTTGCGCAGCTTGAGGATCTCTTTTGCAGCAGGGTGAGGACATTTTTCGATGCGGTGCCCCAGACTCTTACAAACCGAGCAAGCAGGACTTCTCCCACGCACATTTCTAGAGGCAGGTTTTTTCATGGCAAAGGAGAAAGGGGTTGAACTATAGTCCAACCATACTACATTAGAGGGGGGCAGACTTGAGCCTACCGTCTAGCAAAAACAATAAAACAAATTCACCGCAATACCGAGATGACGACCATGTGAAACACAGAAATCAGTGCGAAGCATGGAACTTGTTCCCTGGTTCCACAGAGTTTACATCAGAAACATTCAAGACCACCGGTGCGGCCACGGACTTATTTTTCCAGCGAAGTGGCACATCATGTGAAATGTTTCGCTACATGGCTCGGGTCTGAGGACCATGCTGAAGTTGAAACCTGAGATCTCGCCGCATCCTTTCCTGTGCTCTGACAGCCGACTTCGGCAATGCCTCCACCGGACCACGATATGCTTGCCCTCGCCAGCACTGCGGACGCCCATCGCTGCCACGATGCCAAAACAATTCGCAGCGACACCAAAAGCGACCAGCGTTGGGTCCTGTCTTGACCAAATGCAATTTGAAGGCCCGTTGATGATCAGCACAGAAACCATATTTGTAGTTCTCCGGGCGCTTGGCCAATGCTCTCAAGGGTCCTCGGATTGCGTCATCTGCAGCGGTGCGGACAGGTGCGGTCAGAGGTTCAGCATCTGAGATGGGATCATCGGACATTGCGCTGCATGGAGAGGAGGGAGGTTGCGACCAGGTCGCGACCCCAGTGCCATAGCCACTTGACTGACGCGTCAAAGTCACACTGGCTTCGGCCGAACCACAGGCCATGTCCGAGCCAGAAGTCACAGGTGTAGCAAGCACCGACCTGGAAACCAACTCATGCACCCATTGGTCGTGAGCTCGCACCAAAGATGCTATTTCTGGATGGTTCGTGGAGATGGGATAATACCGCTCCTGCAATCACATAGAAAACCACCCAGAAGCAAAGCAGTGTGTACATAATGTAGTACATAAGAAAATAAAAACAAAGTACGGAAAAGCTCCAAATAAGATCAGGGATAGAAAACAGGACGCCAACCACTCCTCTGCTGTCAGTCCCTTGGCATCAGCCACGCGGTTCTTCCAAGTCAAGTGATGCGGCGATTCTGATCCTCTGATGGGACTCCACTCGTCCTCCTCATTGTCGATGACATGGGTCAACGTAGATGCCGCCGGTCTGCTGTGAACGGAAGAAACACCAGGTAGCTTCAATGAAAACATGCAGTTCCTCGGATATTTGCACAAAAGGGAAACAAAAAAAGGATATGCAAAGCAACTCATGAAACATTAGATCTCCTCCAAAAAAAAGAATCGACATATTTCCGAATGTCTGGTCCGTCGTGGACGGCTCAACATATGAAGAATCGCAGTCAACATGCAGAGACTTCAAATGCCACTCGCAGAGACTGTCCCAAGTGTGCGACTCCAGGCGACATTCCATATGTGGCTTGGACGAACCAGCCAGACGTTTTTCTAGAACAGATCCGGCTTCCAAAACAGGCACCGGAATTGGCCTATGTTGGCGCACATATTGAAACCACATCTGCTTGACAAGTATGTGTCCTCTGCTAAGCGAAGACCAATCATATTCGTTCCATACGCACTCCAGAGTTTTGCGAGCTAGAACATCCCCATGACGTGCCAAGCACATGACTTCATGCAAATCCAACAAGCAGGAAATCAAAGGCAAGGACCACTGATGTAGCAGGGGAGGAAAAGGAACATGGGCAATACGAAGAAGGACCAAAAGGGTCACCAAATATAAGAAGGTCTCCATGAGGAGACTACGGTGTCAACACTTGAACCTAATATTGCGACCGACAACCGGTCAGCGACATGTGTTCATGGTGACCAAATAGAATGGCTGCACAACATCTACCCTCCTTGCAAATCACACATCTGAGCTATTTCCATTCCAGGTTACATGATGCAGTACATGCATATACCCAATGATCAATGCTCTGCTGGAAAAATCAAACTCACATATGACGAACTCCAAAGACACACGATGCCAGCTGCCCGCTGAGGTTCGTGCCTGCAGCCGCGCAGCCCCGCGATGAAACATTCATGTTCATGCTGGTATTGTACCCTTGCATACACATGTTCATCAGAACTGACCGGTACATAGGTATGGATATATATGTATATATATATATATATACATTATATATATATGCATTATATATATACAGTATATATATACATTATATATATATGCATTATATATATACAGTATATATATACATTATATATATATGCATTATATATATACATTATATATATACATTATATATATATGCATTATATATATATATATATACACATTATATATATATACATTATATATATGTATATATATATATCTAAATCTATCTATCTATTTATGTACTTCTTTAGTATACATACGTTCATACAGACAAGGTAACATCCCCCCCCCACCCCACCCATGCCCAGTGACGTAGCAGCAGCGTAGGCATCACACGTG